CACGGGAACTTTGAAGTCCCGAACTGGCATGGTATCTCCTCCTCATCGCGTCGTTGTCCTCCTCCTCCTCCTCCCCCTCCGCCATCCCTTCTCCTCCTGACCTCCTTGTCCTCCTCCTCCACATCTTCCTCCTCCTCCACATCTTTCTCCTTCTCCACATCTTCCTCCTCCTCCTCCTCCTCCTCCACTCCTCGTTCATCTGACCTCCTCGTTCATCTCTCCTCCTCCACGTTTCCCTCCTCGTCAAGGTCTCGTGAACGATTCTTACGTAAACATAGTAAACTACTAAACTTTGAATAACGGTTGGAATGTCGTCGTCTTCCATGTGCTGACTGCAAGCTGTGATGCCGACTGCCACGTGTCACAGCCTCATCACTTTTTTATCTTTTTTTTAATGGCAACTTTCAACTTCGAAGTTCCAACTTTCGTGGTCTCCTCCTTATCTCATCGTCCTCCTCCTTTGCTCCCCGTCATTGTCCATCTCTCCTCCTCCTTACCTCATCCTCCTCCGTCTCTTTTTCATCCCTTTTCGTCCATCTTTCTTCCTCCACCCTTCCTCCATCTCCCGTCCTCCATTCTCCATCTCTCCTCCTCCACCTCTCAGCCTCTTTTTCACGGCTTCATGAACCTTTACGGTCACGGGAACTTTGAAGTCCCGAACTGGCATGGTATCTCCTCCTCATCGTGTTGTTGTCCTCCCCCTCCTCCTCCCCTTCTCCTCCTGACCTCCTTGTCCTCCTCCTCCTTCTCCTCTGTCTCTTATACACATCTAGATGTGTATAAGAGACAGGGCTATAACTTCCCTCTTCTACTCCTCATCTTCTTCTTTCTTGTCCTCCATGTCCTCCTCTTCCTCCTCCTTCTCCCTGTCTCTTATACACATCTAGATGTGTATAAGAGACAGGTCCTCCCCCTCCTCCTCCCCTTCTCCTCCTGACCTCCTTGTCCTCCTCCTCCTTCATCTCTCATCCTCCATGTCCTCCTCTTCCTCCTCCATCTCCTCTTCTTGTTGTCATGGCCTCAGCACCGTTTTTTTTCACATCTAGATGTGTATAAGAGACAGCAGGTAAGTATCGGCCCTATGGGCCTACCAAACAAGTAAGCCCTTGCGGGTCACACACACACTCATACCGACAAGCACTCAGACAGGCACACAGGTCAACAAGCACGCACACATATAGACTTAGAAAACTCAGC